AAAAGGAAAATGAACTGATTCTGGGAACCCAAGAGGAAAGCGAATTTTGGGAATAATGAGGGCAACAAATGTATAGGTGTGCTTTACACAATTGATCTATGTATTGTGATGAATTGTATGCACCCTAATAAATTGATTTAAAAAAAAGATTTGCAGTCTCAAACTATGTAAGGTCTCTGAGTGAGAATCAACTCAATGATTTTTTGTTTTTGTTGTTGTTTGTCATGTTTGAACCAATAGATATTATCCAAATAGTTCTCACTGAACTCCTCTGATGAGTTGAAATGATCATCATTCCTCTACTACAGATAAGACAGCTGACATCCAGAGAAAATAAGTGTATACCTATCCTACAGCTACTCGGCTCTTCGAAGGGAGAGACCCTCAGCCACAGTTGACCACCGTCTGCCTGATTCCCTGAATGATTTGGTTTCTCGAGTGATTGTACTGCAGAGAGAGCTGCCTTTGACCAGCACCCCGATTTGGGCATGCTTGATTAACAATCAATGCTTTTCATTCTATCACACATGCTTCAACTTCGAAGGAAGGATTTTGCTGAAGGGTTAGACCTAATTTCGTGCATTACTCACAATGCCAGGCCTCAAGAACTGCCAGTCACCACACAGAATGTTCTAAGTGCAGAGGTAAGTGCAGATATATTTAACATTCTTTTCATTTTTAGAGTCCCTTTGGGAAGACTGTATATCTTGCTAGGGTATTTGCTGTGAGGTGCCGTGGAGGGGTTCTTTCTACCCATAGCAACCCCGTGTACAACAGAAGAATACATGGGCTGGTCCTAAGTCATCCTCACAAGTATGCTCTGTTTGAGTCCGTTGTTGCAGCCATGCTGTCGAGCCATCTTGTTGAGGGTCTTTTGTTTACTGACCCTTTACCCAGCATGATGTCCTTGTCCACACTGACAACATGCTAAAGTGTGTAAGTTCAAGTCTCACCATTCTTCCTTCGAAGGAGCATTCTAGCTCTACTTCTTAAAAGACAGACATGTAAGATTCATTATATATGATATCTGCTTGCTACAAACGGTATCATTGAAACCATTTTTAAAATGTATTACGGAAAGGTCCTTGCTCAAGATATTGAAAATTTGCTCAGAAATAAAATATTTTTATTTATAAATGCAACATTATATATGAGCAATGATGCATACGATGTTCAGATCTTTGAAGAGTGCTTATATTTTCACAAAGTCAAAGTGTATCGACTGAAGTCTGGGGGGCTGATACAATCAAGGTGAGAGATTCTACCAAGACTGTCGAGATCTCTGTACTTAGGTACATCCCTCCAGTTCCCAATCACCTTCAATGTCCAGGAGAATGTAACAAATACTGACGATTGGATCTCTGTGGCGTCTTCTAGAAAGAGCCACCAAACACTCCCCAGGGTCCATGCAGGACGGGGATGACTCGCAGTGACTGTCCTCATCTTGGCCCTCCAGCTTGTGACGTGTTGTCAATGGTGGCCTCCACGTCCACGGGTTCCGTCCTGTTCTGGAGTGAGTTGTCTGTCACATTAGCGAGGCAGGCTTACGATGAAAAAGTCCTGACAACTTACTGTTTACCATCTGCTATGCAAAACCTTATGGGTCACAAGAGACCGGGCATATTGATTGGATGGAGAACTGGCAGAACCCCCACGATTATGGCCCATCATCACCCTCCCTGTCTGGAACTGACCTCACTCCTGTGGTAGACTCATCAACCATTTATGATGCAAAGGGGAGCATTTACCAAAGGACAAAGCTCCTCTGATAGGCAAGACAGCAAGAAACACAGGAAGGAAGTGGGATACCTGATAGTACAATGATGGGATTGCCTTGACTGAGTGGAAACAAAATGTATGTGAGCTGTTAAATATAAAATTAAT